CGGTGGGGTGGTGGGGTGGTGGGGTGGGCAGAGGAGGTGAGGCAGGTTGGAGAGGTGAATTGCGCGGCAGTATTATATCCCTCGTCGTGTGTGCAATAGATGTATCGGAGGATGTATCGGTGGGCCACCGTGCCGAGTTGCTCCTGCTATCGACATGTCGAGGATGCCTGCAATCCCACTTACTCTGTATTTCCCGTCTCACTTATATCCACAGCAAAATCGTAATGCTGTTTGTACCATCGGCATTGCAATACCCATGGATAAAGCACAACCCCACTTCCACCCCCACGATATGTCGAGGGATGACAATAAGGATCTAGTCGATATCGGACTTCTTGATCGGACGCCTTTTTCGGGGATCGAGATTAATGTTGGCGAGGTCGCACTGCGGTAACTTCAGGGAATTTGGTGAGAATCTTCAGAATGCCCGTGTTATTAATTATTAATAATAATAATAATATGTAAAAGTACTGGTAATGCTGAGTATGAAAATGCGGTGAATTTTCACGTTTTGTCGAAAAAATATTTGTTTCCCACAAGTTTCTTTAAAAATTCTGGACAATAAATAAATAAATTTCCACGGGAAATAATTCCCATTCCCCAGATCTCCGTGTAATTGGAGGCGTAATTTTGCTGTTTATCCGCGGACTTAATCCGCGAATGGTGAAAAAATAAAGCGAAAATATCCATCGACAGATGCCGGTAGAAGAGTCAAAGAGCGAGTCTGAAGGGGTAGTTGTAGGGGTAGTGGATAGCATATAACACTGTTATAGGAAAGAGGGGTTGAAAGCCCCGGGTGCACCGGATGTGCAACTGTTTCGCGGCGATCGAGACGCGAGAAGCGTTTCCTCACTTCTCGTTTCACCCCTCTTTCACGTTTTAACCTCCATTAGTGACCCACAACCCTCTCCCTCCAACCCCAGCACTTTACCCCCCAAAGTATCATTTTCCTTCTCGTACATTCGCTCCTCTCCCTCGTGACATTCCACCAGGGGTAACACACGAAACCACCCCCCAACCCCCACCGGACAACTTAATGTTATGTAAAAATACCGGATCCCTTCCTCTTCCCACCCCAAAATGCTCAGATCCACCGTTACATTAATGTACAACCCAGCAAAAGTACAAGAGATAAAGACAAAATGGATGAAAGAATAAAAAGTATATAAAACAGAGAGGAAAAATAACTGAGGAAAATGAGAGGGTAAAAAAGACAAGGGCGCGAACCGAACAGATGCGTTCTCTGTAGTTTAAACAAAAATAAACTTGAATTTAAAACCAAGGCGAATAAGTAATAACATCCGTGCATAGACTCGCTCATGCCTGCATAAACCTTGGCTACTATTTCGTAATTTTAATTGGCCCCCCAACTATTCTCCAGTGTTGAGGAGATTTTTCCTTTTTTTTCTTTTTTTATTTTTATTTTTCCACTGGATTTTTCTACTTCGGCTTCCGTTTACGGTAGAAGTTCGCCGAGATTTGCGTTTCTCGCGGAAAGTTTCGGTTCTTTCGGTGCATTGGACGATCTATCTCGTTTAAGAAGTTTGCCCCATGAATTCATGCCTCGGATATCATTTATTTTATTGAATAATTGGATGGGATTGTTATTGTGTTGAACGGTAATTATGGAGAGAAAAGTTTTGGGGGAGAGGGAAAATTATTACAACATTATTATTATTTATAATAAAATAAAAGAATATTTACTCCCACCCAAATTTTAAATACGCCGAGATAATTAATTTCCGCAATTATTCATTATCTATTGATTACGATGATAATAAATAGTTAATTAAAATCCTAATCTCCTACAAATAAATAATAATATATATTTTTTTTAGAAAATTTTTCAAGTGAAAATTTTTCAAAAAATGAAAAAATTAAAAATCGCTGCACGAGGGCCAAATCTTCTTCATTTCAAATCTACAGTCCATACACAACTCAGATCTGTTCACTTTTCCCGGAAATTCCCATTATTGCGAGAGTGGTGAATTTTTTTAGAAAATTTATCAAGTAAAAAATTGCCAAAAAATGAAAAAATTAAAAATCGCTGCACGAGGGCGCAATCTTGTTCATTTCGAATCTATAATCGATACGCAACTCAGATCTGTTCACTTCTCCCGGAAATTCCCATTATTGCGAGAGTGGTGAATTTTTTTAGAAAATTTTTCAAGTGAAAATTTTTCAAAAAATGAAAAAATTAAAAATCGCTCCACGAGGGCGCAATCTTGTTCATTTCGAATCTATAGTCGATACGCAACTCAAATCAGTTCGTTTCTCCCAGGAATTCCCATTATTGCGAGAGTAGTGAATTTTTTTAGAAAATTTATCAAGTGAAAATTTGTCAAAAAATGAAAAAATTAAAAATCGCTACACGAGGGCCAATTCCTCTTCATATCGAATCTACGGTCCATACGCGACTCATATCTGTTCACTTTTCCCGGAAATTCCCATTATTGCGAGAGTGGTGAATTTTTTTAGAAAATTTTTCAAATGAAAATTTTTCAAAAAATGAAAATAATAATATATAATATAATCTGCGAAATTTGTTCACACAATTTTCGTTCGAGTATAATTTATTGTATTGAATAATAGATTACACTGTTGCCATCGTAATTAGGTAACCAGTTAATTATGGAGAATGGAGATTGTGAAAGAAGTTTATGGAGATACTGGAAAGACGTTGATTCTGCTCTCGAGACTGTTTAGAGTGCGGGATGTGACCCCTTCCTTTCCAATAATATTAACTTTGCCCGAATTTTCAGTGAGCGTTAACGAGACAGCAGTGGTTTTTGCGGTAGTTATCAATTCAGGGGGATGAATTTTTGGGGCTGTGCCAATTGTTTTGGGAGACGTACCGGGCGTGGAGGATCTCGTAGAAGATTTAGTGGATCCATCAGATTCACTAGGTCGTGTCCCTTCGAACAGAATCCTCAGAGCTTCATCACCCGTTGAAGACGAATTACTCAAGAACTTTAAATTGCCATTAAAAATTCTAGGCACCTCCCAGGGCAAGTAATTAACCGGTGGCATTGATCGTTTCCACCGGGAATGGACTCGCCGATTGTGAGATTTTTTAGGGTGATTGTTTTTCCTTGGATTATGACTCCTGTGTTTTTTCATCTTTAGCTTTTTTACCACTTGCCTTCGTCGTCGGGTCCAGCCCTCGGGTTTCAAGGGAAAATTCTGCAATTCATCGTCATCTCCGTGGAGTCGGGAGTGGAGGGCAATGGTTGAGCGTTTTTTCGTGGGTATGGGCAATTGAGGCTTTGCTTTATCCTTTGATTCGATGAATTTCAGGAGTGAGTGCAATTGTCTCTCCTGGGGGTAGTTAGGGGACATTAAAATGTGTCTCGAGTGGGCCCGAGCCTTTTGACAACTCACCAGGTAATCGTGCACAGCCTGGACCTTCGTCTGTTCCTTTTCGCTCAGTGTGAAATACTCTTTTATCAGGCCTTTCAGCAATCTGACTTTTCTGTAAAGATCAGAAGGCAGTGGAGTCTGGGTCTCGGGCCGTTGACTGCTTGGAAATTTCTCGGGCTTAAGACTCTCTTTCGCCTTCGAATAAACAACAGCTGTTGTCCTCTGAATTCAATAAACAATAATTCTTGTGTTGAATAATTAATTAAATATGAAAAACCCCACAAGTTGCCTCAAAGCAAATTATTCTTAAAAATTATTACCATTATCATTTCATCATTTTATTTTACAGTTATTATTTTAGGGGGTGTTATCAGGTACCTGGGGCTCGCGTAACTCCTCATCCCTCACCATCCACACCAAAAATTCATGCAAATGCGGCGGTAACTTTCTGCAAGTCTTATGGTCGACTTCATCAGACACGAGATGACCCAAGAGCTCCATGACCTTCCGCATTATCTCCTCGGTACGTTTTACCTGATCAAAGGGAATACGTTAAATTTTCCATAAAATAATAAAGTTACTTGATAGTTGCCTCTTCTGGATCACTAGGTGAGAGCACCTCCCCTGGCGAATGAATCCCCGGCTTTGAGTGGCGATTTAAACCCGGACCCAGATTCATCTTCAGGGGCTCATTATTTTCCACCTGGAAGTGCCTGAATTTATTTTTTTTTCTCGTCATTCGTAACCGAGAGTCATCAAATCATTCTAACTTGTTCAAAAATCTTATCAACTATTTTTCCAGCTACATCCCCGATGACGATCCCCATGTGATCATTCCTCGAGTGCTCATCCATATCTCGCTTTCCTCTCCCCAATGTACGAAACAGACTCGGTATTTTTTTAATAAACCGTCGTTTCCCCTTGTGGAAGTGCGGGCTCTTCCCATGGAGATAGCTGAGTCCCCTTGAACGCCAGATTTCTTTGAAATCCTGGTTAATGTCACGGTGTCTGGTTGCACTTCTCGAAAAATCACGGGACGATGTCGTCTCGCACGTCAAGAGTCCACAGCTATCCTCAGTTGCCTGCATGAGTTCTCTGCCAAGGCCCATCCGATTTTCCTCGCCATAGCCTTCCCAGGACACCTCCAAAGGCTCCACCGATTCACGATGCATTATGGGCCCAACTCCGTTGGTTCGTTTCCTCCTGGAGATCTTCAGTCCCGATGTGTCTGCTGCCTCTTTATTCGTGGACTCGCGGTGAATTTCGATGGGGTGGGCTTTGTTACTGGGAATTACTTCAAGGCTCTCCCCATTTTTCGAGTCCTCGTCCCCCTCCTGTTGAATCAAATCCTTCACTTGAGGAATAAAAATCATCTATCTACCCTTGACTGAAGATAATAAAAAATGTTCCTCTAACACGAAAATATTCTTTCAATTTCTCATTTTCATGAACTACCTCCGTACTTGTGGGTACCTGGAGTAATTTCCAGTGTTTGTCATTCTGAATTTGATTTCTGTCGGGAAAATGAATGCTGGAGTCATCCGGGGAATTTCCCTGCTCAACTCCACCCTTGAACATATCGTCTGTGACTTTCAGGGCTTGGTAATCACTTCCAGATGTCGATGAACCATTCTCTTCCGGGGAGTTGACTGGTGATATAATGAAGAATGTCTGACCGGGTTTTGAGGCCTTCGGGGATCGTCTGGGGTGTAAAAAATTATTAAAAGTCAAAAGAGGAAATGAGGGAAATGAGGGAAATGGGGGAAATGTACATGTTTGGCTCGCCCGATCCACTCGCCCTAGCTGGAATAATCTCGAACTCCTGAATCTCCAGAAAATGGGAATGAAAGAGCATTCCGTTGTCGCCGTTATCTTCTTCCCTGTGACATCGTGCCTCACGTCTGTGAAAATTTTATCCATTCAGATATAAAATTCACTCCCTACCTCATGCTAATCCTCTCGATCTAACCCAAGAGTATCCAGATCGTTGGATATCTCCATGTCCCTGTCCTCTCGATTCTCATCCACATGGTCATCGAGGTCAACAATAAATTTTCTCTCCTCACCAGGATGTACCTCATCGCTGAGAAATTCCTGTCGAGGATACGGAAGGGTTGTACCCTCCGTCCCATTACCTGAGGAAATCCCCACGAATTTCTTCATCGTCTCCAAGTGATCACTCGCTGGAGCTGATTTTCATTGTTTATTTATTCAATTAAAAGAAAATGTTTATGTATTTTTTTCCAATCAAATTAAAACAAATACCAAAATATTAATAACAAAACATTCAGTTATGATTTTGATAAATATTTTTGATAGATCTGTCGATATAAAAATAATAAACGACATAAAGATTTGATGGAAAAAATTGATTGCAACTCACTAGCAATACCACTGGCATTGATAGAATTCATCGAGTCTCGTTTTCCCACATCTCCCTCGTAATCATAGTACTCGATGATACCACTACCAGTTAAATCGGAAATTGGATAACGTCTCCTTTCAACCCTCTCATTCTTCCCAATACTCCTGACTGGTGAGTTTTCACCGGAGAATCCCAACTCTCCGAGAATCGTCTCAATATCCCCCTCATTTGCTGCACTCCTATCCCCAATTCCATCAGCATCTTTATCACTGCCATAATCTCTTATCGCAGCTAGTCTCCTGGGCCGCTGCGACCATAGTAGCCGTCTCTTGGTACTCCGTCCCCAGTGTCCACCAGAATTTACAGTTCTGTCGATTGATTTTAATTCATCCTTAGCACGAAGTACATTCTCCAGGAAGCTGTTCAACGCCGGACTGTTGGAATCATCATCCACCTGGACTCCACAAATTTCACAAAATCTAAATGAAATTCACCTCTCAATTTTTGTTAATTGTCAAAAGAGCCAGAGAAAAATCATGGTGACTAAGAGGGAAATGTGAGGAGTTGAAAAACCTGATGTCAGAAAGGTCTAGGGTCCAGAGAAGCGTGCAGAGATGTAGAATAACCAAGACAGCATGTAGAAAGTCTTCTGCCCTTGACAATTCAACCCTCACCACCCCCTGGACGAGTTATAATAATAACAGAGAGAGAAAGAGGGAAAGGGAGAAAGAATTCCAAAAGCATTTCTCGTTTTCTCCTCCAGTACCAGCGATTTCGCGTGCCTCTTTCTCATCCACCACACGCCAAGACAATGTACACTGATATAAAAAAAACTATATATATATATTCTATATATTCCTTATGTACCACCACAGAGACCTATCTAACCAGAGGGAAAATGAGAAAGAGCGACAGTGAATGAGGGAGAGGGAGGAGTTAGGTATGCCAGGGTGCGTTATTAAAAATTCACTCCCTCCCGCGGTTGAAGTGGCCTCTGGCAATCTGCATCTCATTCCCAGGGGGTCCTTGCATCCCCATCCCGGAGGGTTATCCTCGTACCTCCTCGCACCCACCAGTGTCGAGGGCACTGAGGGCTCAAGCCCTTCTGGTACACTTCCATTCCCTGCCCTCTTCACATCCTCCCACCCACCGAGTCCATCCAGCGATCATCCTTGCCTGCATCCAGAGATGAATTTACCCTGGGCCATTACCTCCATCCAAAAAATCAACAGATATCACGCGACCTCGTCAAAATTCTACGAGATAAAAAAGCCCCGGTGATAAATATTCCGTTAAAATCTAATAAACAATTAATCCAATCCAATTAGAAAATTCCCGAGAAATGTCAGTGGTGGGATTTTGATGAATTTTTCTCAGCCACTAATTAATATTTTTTAATAACCGACCTCCTGGAAAATGATGAAGGGGTTTCATCTTCTCTTCATTTCCAGTGTCATCAGGGTACCGTCATCGGATGGACGTGCGAATTGTTCCACGAGGATTTTCTCTACGTGCGTGTCGCCGATGGGGACACGCGCAAATTCGGATGATTTCCCCTTTCACTGTGTTTTCTTTCATTTTTTTTTTTCTAGACTCTTTCAGTCTCTGAAGACCGAGATGAGACGACTGGGATATGACGGGGACGAGGATCGATCGTGGTAACATTTTGTGGGTGAGTTGAGAGGGAAGAGGATTCAAGCTGGAGGTACGCTTGGCAGCCAAAACTACGAGGGGCATAATCAATCACGGCTAGGTTTTGCGCCTCGGTCTTGGGGGTTTGTATGTGGATACCGAGGCATAGTTTTCCTCCTTGTTCCCTTGTTACGTTAACGGTAATATCGCCTCTTTCCTCTAAAACGTGTCTGTGCCTTGTCTCTGCGTTGCCCAAAACCTCTTTGTCATTTTGTCGACGTAAATTTCAGCCGGGAGGTGAGTACTTTGACGTTAAACAGTGAGTTAAAGTTACCAGGGGGGGATGGGGGATGATGAAGAAATTTAAATGGGTGACAGACTTTTTTTTTCACCAAGAGGATTCATCCCGCCATTTTTTTCCAGTGACAGATTTTTTTTCGCGCACGTGATTCTTCAAATTCTATTTATGTCGTTTTATTGTCAGCTTTTTTTTTATTTGATTTTTTCATTTTTTTCTTACTGAGGGGTAACGATATTTTAGATCGATAGAGGGACAATCGAAAAATTCAGTGATATATTTTTATTATGATCTGCCAGAAAAAAAATGGATTCACTTTTTCCCTGTGGAATTGTTGGGTTTTAATTGAATGCCAATTTTTCAATAAAAATATTGAGTTTGATAATATTTTCCCAGGTAATTACCATAATTTTTTAACCAAACAGACCCCTCACCTGAAATTTCAATGCCGGAGATCTCCTGACGCCCTGTGCCGAATAAAATCGAAGAAAAACCCCAAAAAATCCGAGCAGAAGAATAAAAATATTCACCTCCATTCCGTTTCCCAGTGGTATCCCCAAAATGTAATCTCTCAACTCCTGGGGGTCCTGGACGAGTGTAAAAAGTGAAAAAAGTCAACTCACTCTACATTATGACTCGATAGGAGAAAAAGCAAAAAAAAAAATCAAATAAAAAAACGTAAATTTCTTACTGGTGTTATTTTCTGCACGTCGTAATTTGCATTCTCTTAATCCCAGCTCTGTGTCTTCCCACCTCTTTCTGCTCCCATATTACTCGGTGTGCCCTTTTAAAACCAGCATTCAGCCAGTGTCCTACGGTTTTTCCCTCACCAGAAAGCGTTGGAAAATTAAAAAACGCCCGATCGTAAAGCCTTGAGAGGTGAAATATCGCCGGTGAAGTACATTGAATCGTAATCAGCCCAGCTCTTACTCTCAAATAATAACTCCCTCATATTCACCATTATTATTTGTTTCCAGGGATGGCTGTACACAAAGGTGAACTGAGGAGCGATAAACTCCACCATTTGTTGGGAATACAGAAACATTTTTTTCCTTTTTGTTTATTTCTTTTTTTAGAAAAGGAACAGGAGAATTGGTTGAAAAATAGGAATGGCGAAAAGGGGGAGATGTTTTGCCTGCGCCCATTCAAATCTTTGTGAGACTTACACTTGATTTCACCCAATGCTATGGAGATCCCTTCGTCTCCTGGATGAGGAGAGATTTCTTTTTTGGAGAATAAGGAGTTCCTGAGGAGTCGATCTCGCTGGACTACGGCTTTTGTTCGGTTATCGGGGTACCGGAGAGTGAAAATTACCTCTGAAAATATATACCTAGTGTTTATTTATTCTATTTAACAATTTACCATTTTTTAATTGTCAATTTTTCTTGGGAAATGTCCACTCGTGAAAGTGATGTTGAGAGAAATTTTTTTGGGTGATCTATTTTGGTGTTTTATTTTTAAATTAATTAATGATTTATTTATTGAGAGAATATTTTTATCTCGGTGCTTTATGGGTTCATTGATTAAATGGACAATTGATAATGAGAATGTGGGAGGCAGCTGGAAAATGTGGGAGGGGATGAAAATGGGGGGATATAATAGAATTCTCCAAGAAACATGGGAAATATTTTTCGAGTTTTCAGTTGGTCTGAGGGAAGAAGGGGTTGCACTGATGGAACGGGACGAGAATAATGTACCGCGTAAGAGCCATTAGGTTATTAAAAACTAGAAGCCGGAAAAATGAAAGAGGAGAGTTAAAGGTACGTATAAAGAGGGGACCCACCCCACGTTTGAGGGTGGAAATGTAGAAATAGTACTGAGAAAGCGAGTGAAGGTTGTAACAGAGGCGAAAAATTGGCTCGTCTTATGTTCACGTTTCGATGAGACTCGGAAAAAATCCAAAAACACAAGCACTCCATCCCTCTAAAAAAAAATAAATAAAAATACTACCCTTATCAGGGGAGAGAAATATGCACTAACAAAAAAGCACGATGAGGTCATTAATAATAGTAATAATAATTAAACTATCTCGGATGGAAATAATTATTTTTCGACGTCCTAATTATAAATGATAATTATTTTTATAAAATTATTATCGTCTCGTCAGACGTTTCAAAATTCTTGTGAAATTTGTATGATAAAAATTTTTTAAATTGTACAACATCAAAGTTAATTGTTTAATGACTTTTACGTCTGGTTATGCGAAAATCTGGTTTACCTTTTTTTAATCTATTTAAACGAAAAATTGGAGGAAGCTTTTTCGCCAATCAGGAGTTGCCGACTGCTGCCAAGTCTCGTGGAATGAAAAAAAAAATTGAGTACAGGAGCAACAATTCGCCAACATTAAAAAAAAAAAATGGGGAGAGGTAGGAAAGAGTGTATGGCCGTATAAAAATGGTTGGGGAAAAAAAAAATGGACGTGGTCGTTTTTGTGGTTAATCGATCTTGACTGCGAGTAGATTGTTCGTTGTTTTAACGGTTCAGCACTCTTTGTTTTTCAATAGTTTTCGGTGTTTGCGGTTATATAAATGCCTTTCATAGCTGCGCTAATTAATTACCGTTGATAGGATGGAGTCTGTAAACCGGTGGTTAGACAAATAATGAGAGAAAGAGCTGAGGGTTTTTTCACCAGCAGCACAATTGAATCGGGGGCACCGATTCAATTAAATCGGTTCATAATTTTTTATTGCAAAACTATTAGTGATCATTTATTATTATTAATTGAGGCTGTTAGCGGAGTTCATTGCGCCGATGTATCATCGGGGTATAGGGGAATACTATTGGCTAATTGTGAATTTTCTGAGAGGCGAATTGTCGTGGGTAAACATGGGGGGGGGGAGAGTTGGGGGGCAAAGCTGTGAAGCCATTGAGCTTTGTGATTAGACGTAAAGTAGACGGAAATTATAGGGCCCAGTGTGCGGAATTATTGGATGAATTTAGTTATGAGGCACACAGCACACGCCTGCTATATAATAATATTGTATATAACTCTTCTGTATGTGTTACCACGGTTGAGCGTTGGTTGGAACCCTTTTGCTCGATGTCGTATACAATATTCACTCTCTGGCTCACTCGTTTACACACTTTCCTTCTCACTTCGGTATAAAGTGCTCGGGCTTGTACATAAATTTCTCGATAACCGTGTGCACAAACACCCCTACTCCCACCCCTCGATGTTGCTCTCTCACTTTGAACGGTTTACTGGGAAAATACCTGTGCATGTACCACGGTAATTTCTAATATTGCGGAGGTATTCGCTCGATTCGTTAATATTCAACGATCGACAGGGATCGACCTCCGGTGAATGTTTCATGGAGATTTCGCTGAGGGATGCCTGACGAAAACGTGAGAGGTGTTGGATATTTAGAAGACGTTGTTTATTGCTATTTTCAATTATCCTTTATTTTTTTATTTTTATTGATTTTTTAGTGCCGGATATTTACGGATTTTAAGAATTCTTTGGAGATGAGTAATAAATAATTCAATGATTTTATTGCTGTTGGTGACTGTGCAATAATTTAATCGAGGAAATTGAAGGAAATGAAATCTGAGTGAATGAAGAATTTGAGAATGAAGAGAAAAGGAAATGAAAATGAAAAAGTGAGGATTTTTCACGTCAATGGAAAATCGACTGACGTAAACTATTCAGTTTCAGATAAAAAATTGTATTTTTAGTGATGGAAAATTTCTATTCGACTGGAAAACGAAGGGACAAAAAAGGGCAATGGAAAAAAGGGGGAAAGGGAGACATTGAGAATCAAAAGTCTCTCCACCTGGGAGTAGAGTGCGGTGAGTTACGCAAATGCGAACGAGAACAAAGCAAATAACACTGGGCGACGAATATACAAATCTAGAACGACACGAAACAATGCCCCGGGAGAGTTACCGGGCTTTCTAATTGAAAACGAGCCCCCGTGTTTTCCCTCTCCCCGTCTCATATGCGTGTGTCCTCATTTTGGATCTCCGGTCGGTTCACTACTCAGAACTGTTCGCTTCCCTTGGGAATTCCCATTATTGCGCGATTGGTGAATTTTTTTTTAATTTGTCAGGTACAAATTTTTCAAAAAGTAAAAAATTTTTAAATCACTCCACGAGGACTATTTCGCCCTCATTTCGGATCTGCGATCCGTCGGCAAGTCAGAACTATCCGCTCCTCCCGGGAATTCCCATTATTGCGAGATTGGTGAGTTTTAAAAAAATTTTTTCAAGTGCCGATTTAAAAAAAAATGAAAAAATTTAAAATCACTCCACGAGGGCTAGTTTGCCCTCATTTCGGATCTCCGGTCGGTCCGCTTCTCAGAACTGTTCGCTTCTTCCGGGAATTCCCATTATTACGAGATTGATGAATTTTTTTTTTATTTTTCAGGTGCCAATTTTTCAAAATGTGAAAAATTTTTAAATCACTCCACGAGGGCCCATTCGCCCTCATTTCGGATCTGCAGTCGGTCGGTTTCTCAGAACTGTTCGCTTCTCCCGGGAATTCCCATTATTGCGCGATTGCGCGATGAGTACATTTGTAGTACATTTGTTGTTTGCGGAGGTCTTTCTTTTCACCCTCAACGCCTAATCGTCCCGCACAGATGCGTGCCAATGTGTTTTCTCGGTGGGTTACCCTTCTCTTTTCTTTATCCCTCGGTTATTTATCCCCTGTGTCAGTATTTCCCGCCCACTCGATTCCTAACCGAATACATATACCACGCCGCCTCTCCAAAATTCACGATTTTCTGTTTTTATCATTTCATGATTATCCAGACTATTCCAAAAATTACACGATCGTCCCACAATCACTAAATGCGAAATCGAAATTTTTGTGAAAAATCGGTAAAGGTTTTTTGAAAATGGGAATTAAAATACTGGAAATAATAGAAATAAAAAAATTCAATTTTTTACATTTAGAAATAATCTTTTCAGAAATCTCAAGGAAAACTCGGGTTTCTCATTTCCCCAATTTCTTGCAACTTCTCAGGAAAAGTTCTCCGTTCCCCATATTCAAAATCTCCTAAGAGTGGAGGACTAAATCATGATGTAATCGTTGGAATGGAATGAAAAAAGTGGAAGGGATAGGGAATATAAAGCAGTTTATGGAAAAAGTTGCGGGAGTATATTCCTATGGATACACGGAGTAATTTTATAAATAATTCCATGAAGCTTTTGGGGTTGGATCACATTCTCTGTAACTGCAAGTTTTTTTTTGTGCCGCTGTGTGTTTTTTTTCAACGGTTTATCTTTAATATTTTAGGAGGGGTGCGAAATTATTTTGCTTCGGACTCCTCCATTGTCCCTTTTCCTTCAGCTTTTGGTAAATGATTTGGGCGAGGCGCGATGTATCGACTGCGGTGATATCAGGGGTTGAGGAATAATTGCGTAAACAATTCGCGGTGGCATTTAGTCTTGTGGTCCCGTGTGGGTCGTAAGAGAACTCGTTGAATTCCACGTATTCACCCCTCATGTTTTTCCCCGTTTTTAATGCCCTCCGATACCACCGATGGCCTATCAAAAGTCCTCGATGGACGGGAAAAATAAATTGCGGATTCAATTCCTAATGTTCATTGCAGAACTATAAAAAAAAAATTGCCCATCATAAAAATAATAATCCTAAAAATGAAACACTCCTTTAATTTCATTAAACATCTCTAATTATCTCTAATTAATTGATTTAACTCGAATGGAATCGAATCCCTTGGAATTTATTAAATCGATAATCGAAGATATGGAGATTGAAAATTCAAACGTTGGCGGGAGATTCAAAAAAACAATTTTCTGGGGCAGCAAAGATGGTATTTTAGATATCGATAGATCTGGATTATCCCCTGACAATCCAAGACGCTGGTCGAGCGGAATGTAAAAGGTCCAGTTATGGAGAGGAAAGGCGAAGTACACTCAGAGCCCCCGAGAAATACGATAAGCACTTTGCCCGGTCGTATCTATCAAACATAACCCTTATGTCGGCGGAATAGTGGCTCGCGGTATTCCCATGGGTTTCAGGGCCAGGACAAACTCGTGGAATTTATACACGCGAACCCTGTGCCCTCTCCATTCTCTCACTTTCACTAGCTCCTCTCAAAATAGACCCTCCGTAACTCCATCATTTATTCATGCTGCGTTACAGGAGGAAAACTCGCGCCAAGTGCCTCATAAACGTTTAGCCCTAACCTCTCCATTTTTTTCCTGCACTCGGCGTCGATGAGTTTTCGTTGGTTCGCGTTATTATTTCGCGGTACGAATACCCTGGACGTCATATTTGACTTTCCACGGATCCTCGAACGCCTAAAAGCCAATAAACTACTTCATTTGGTAATTTTAGATCTTTTGTTTGACTTTTCCCGCGGTTTCCGGGGATTCCCAAATGCAGGGAATTTTTCGCGGCAAATAAATCCGCCCTTGTAATAAACCTATTTGTTTGAAAATTAAACGTTGGGTGAAGGTTTAAAAATAATTTCCAGTTATTGGTAATTATGACGCGGTAATGGATATTTTTCGTGTGATTATCAATTTTTTTTAATGGTTTGAGGCCTTGGGGAGGTTGAGGCTGCATCACTGGGATCAGTGGGGAAAAAATGGGAAATTGTTATTGCGACCACGCGGCGAATTTCTGCCACCAACCCGGTGATATACGACCCTCAGACGTAGGTCGTGTTGGCTTGGGGTTGAGAAGAAAATAAAGACATCGTCGAGAAAATCCGAGGGATATGCTACATCTCGTAACCGACCTTACGACTGGCTTTCGATTCTTAGCCGGATGGGAATTCTTTTTTCCGTTGTTTCCAGATACTTTTGGAGAACTTCACATTTTTTCTCCAAAATCCCCACGTCAATCACAATAAAACAAAAAATTCTAAACCATATTTTTTGAAAATCCCATTGAAATTTTCAATAAATGGATTCAATGATGATAATTTTCAGTTAAAAAAATGTGTAAACCCAAAAATATCGCGTGCTCTCAAACGAATCCGTACTCACGAACAATTAAACCCGATAAATCGATGGTCCCATATTCTGTTTGGCTGTTACAATAAAAAAAAAATCGAATTAACGTCCATCAAATGCACCTTTTTGTCCCTGGATCTCGTGCTTGAAGTGGCATGTGTACATGCGGGTATAATCCATTGAATTTCTCGACACGAAAAACGACACGACGCCCGTACCAATTTACCACGAGCCGAATGAAAATAAATAGTGTGACCAAAAAAAAAAGAAGCAATAATGTATCGATTTGAGGGGAGAAATGACAACAACTTATTTACAGTCAAGCAAAACAAACAGAGAGGATGAGATGCGGTTAATATACGAGAGGACCACATATATG